GTGTTGTATCACATTTATTAACTTGTGTTTGTTAAACCATCCCAGCATCCCTGATATAAAACCCACTTGATCGTGGTGGATTATCTTTCTGATATGTTACTGGATTCAGTTAGCTACCATTTTGTTAAGAATTTTAGCATCCATGTTCATCAGGGATATTGGTCTGTAGTTTTATTTTTTGGCTATTTCCTTTCCTGGTTTTGGTATTAAGGTGATACTGGCATCGTAGAATGATTTAGGAAGGATCCCTGCTTTCTCTATCTAATGGAATTGTGTCAGTAGGAAAAGTACAAATTCTTCTTTGAATGTCTGGTAGAATTCTGCTGTGAATCCATCTGGTCCTGGACTTATTTTGTTTGGGAATTTGTAAATTACCATTTCAATCTTGCTGCTTGATATTGGTCTGCTCAGGGTATTTAATTCTTCCTGACTAAGCTAGGAGGGTTGTACCTTTCCAGGCATTTATCCATCTTTTCTAGATTTTTCTAGTTTATGCATGTAGAGGTGTTCATAGTCACCTTGAATAATCTTTTGTATTGCTGTGGCGCCAGTTGTAATATCTCCCATTTTGTTTCTTATTGGGCTTATTTGGATTTTCTCTCTTTTCATGGTTAGTCTTGGTAATGGTCTGTTAATTTTATTTTTCTTTACAAAGAACCAGATTTTTGTTCCATCTATCTTTTGTATTGTTTTGTTTGTTTGTTTCAACTTCGTTTAGTTCTGCTCTGATCTTGATTATTTCCTTTCTCCTGCTGGGTTGGGTTTGATTTGTTTTTGTCTCTCTAGTTCCTTGAGGTGTGACCTTAGATTGTTCATTTGTGCATTTACAGACTTTTTGATGTAGGTGTTCAGGGCTAGGAACTTTCCTCTTCGCACCACCTTTGCTGTGCCTCAGAGGTTTGATAGTTGTGTCACTATTGTCGTTCAGTTCAAAGAATTTTTAAATTTCCATCTTGAGTTCATTTTTGACCCAGTGATGATTCAGGAGCAGATTATTTAATTTCCATGTATTTGCATGGTTTTGAAGTTTCCTTTTGGAGTTGATTTCCAGTTTTATTCCACTGTAGTCTGAGAGAGTGCTTGATATAATTTCAGTTACTTAAATTTATTGAGGCTCATTTTGTGGCCTATCATAAGGTCCATCTTAGAGAAAGTTCCATGCGCTGTTGAATAGAATGTATATTCTACAGTTGTTGGATGAAATGTTTTGTATATATCTGTTAAGTCCATTTGTTCCAGGGTATAGTTTAAATCCATTGTTTCTTTACTGACTTTCTGTCTTGATAACTGATAGCTAGTGCTATCAGTGGAGTATTGAAATCCTCCACTATTATTTTGTTGCTGTCTAGCTGATTTCTTAGGTCTACTAGGAATTGTTTTATAAATTTGGGAGCTCCAGTTTTAAATGTGGAACATTTAGGCCATTTACATTCAATGTTAAAATTGAGATGTGAGGTACCATTCCATTCATCATGCTATTTGTTGCCTACATACTTTGATTTTTTGTTTTTGTTTTTTTAATTAGATTTTTGTTTTATAGACCCTGTGGAATTTATGCTTTGAAAGGTTCTATTTCGATGTGTTTCCAGGATTTGTTTCAAGATTTAGAGCTCTTTTTGGTAGATCTTGTAGTGGTGGCTTGTTAATGGCAAATTCTCTCAGCATTTATTTGTCTGAAAAAGACTATCTTCCCTTCACATATGAAACTTAGTTTTGCTGAATACAAAATTCTTGGCTGATAATTGTTTTGTTAGAGGAAGCTGAAGATACAACTCCAATCCCTTCTGGCTTGTAGGGTTTCTGCTGAGAAATCTGTTAATCTGATAAGTTTTCCTTTATTTTTTTTTCCAAGAGACTTAAATCGTTTATTGATTACACATGATAATGGATGATACACAAGCTTCATTCTCATCTATAATTTTATCTGGTACCATTATTCAATTTAAATATATTGCATAGGATGTGCCAACAATCATCTTTATAACCAATAATTCCATGATTTTTGCTTGGGTAATTCCTTTTAATCATGAACTTCAGGTCACAACAGTAACTATTAGTTCAACTACACCAAGGTTTCTGAAGACATTGGCTTCTCCACCCAAGCATGTTGTATATAAATTCCAAATAGAACCTGGCATCACCCTGAAGAAATTCTAACTTCACACTGTTGGGGAAATTTACCAAGATGGCTTCAGAGTAGACTAACTTTACACAGCACATTAAAAAAAAGACATTTATTCAGCGTCACGATCAGACTATTACATTTAGCAATTAACAGCATGGGTGCAAAAAAAAAAAGAAAAAGAAAAAATCCACATTAAAACCCTTTGTTGGAATGCTTTACAGTTTCCACAGAACAGAAACTAAAATAACCTGTTATACAATTAGTCACAAATACAGTCCTCGAGTTTTTTGCCCATACACAGGAATATTTGTCTAAATCATGTCTTCTTTGTAGCAGCTAGGCCCTGCCACCACTGCGCTTGGCTGAGTTCACAAGTCCGCTGTAACCTGTAGCTTCCCTGTCACTTCTCTGGCTCTCCTCTCCTGCTAAGCTTTGTTTCCTAATTAAAATCTTCTGCCACTGCCATAGCTACTGCTGCTACTGGAACCGCCATAGCCACCTTGGTTTCATGGTTTGGCAAAGTATTGGCCGCCACCATCATAGGGGGCCAGAGCTTCTGCCTCCAAAGTTTCCTCCCTTCATGGGTCCAAAATTTGAAGACTGATTGTTGTAACTGCCAAAATCATTGTAGCTTCCACCACCTCCAAAATTGCCTCCGTCATTACCAAATCCATTATAGCCATCCCCACTGCCACCATATCCACCACCACCACGGCTGCCACCAAAGCCACCATGACCACTGAAATTTCCTCTACGACCAAAGTTGTCCTTCCCACCGAAACCACCTCCACGCCCACCACCAAAGTTTCCAGAACCACTTCGACCTCTTTGGCTGGATGAAGCACTAGCCATCTCTTGCTTTGACAGGGCTTTCCTAACTTCACAGTTGTGGCCATTCACAGTATGGGATTTCTGAATGACAGTCTTATCCACGGAGTCATGGTCGTCAAAGGTTACAAAGGCAAAGCCCCTTTTCTTGCCACCGCCTCTGTCCGTCATGATTTCAATCACTTCAATTTTTCCATACTGTTCAAAATAATCTCTTAGGTGATGTTCTTCAGTGTCTTCTTTAATGCCACCAACGAATATTTTTTTCACAGTTAAGTGGGCACCTGGTCTTTGAGAATCTTCTCTTGAGACAGCTCTCTTTGGTTCCACAACTCTTCCATCCACTTTGTGTGGCCTTGCATTCATGGCTGCATCCACCTTCTCCACAGCTGCATACGTGACGAACCCAAAGCCCCTGGAGCGCTTGGTGTTTGGATCTCTCATTACCACACAGTCTGTGAGCGTTCCCCATTGCTCAAAATGGCTCCTGAGGCTCTCATCGGTTGGTTCAAAGCTCAACCCTCCAATGAAGAGCTTCCTCAGCTGTTCTGGCTCTTTAGGAGACTCTGACTTAGACATGATCGCGGGGAGAAGAGAGACTTTAACGATGCTGCTTCGGCGGCGTCCACGGGCAGAAAGGAGCAAACTCAAGTTTTCCTTTATAGGTTACCTGGTGCTTTTGTCTCACAGCTCTTAAGACTCTTTCCTTCATCTTAACTTTAGATAACCTGATGACAATTTGCCTAGGCAATTATCTTTTTGCTATGAATTTCCCAGGTGTTCTCTCTGCTTCTTGCATTTAGATGTCTAGGTCTCTAGCAAGGTCGAGGAAGTTTTCTTTCATTATTCCCCCAAATATGTTTTCCAAACTTTTAGATTTCCCTTATTCCTCAAGAGCACTGATTATTCTTAGGTTTGGCCATTTAACATAATCTCAGACTTCTTGGAGGCTTTGTTCATAATTTCTTATTATTTTTTGTCTTTGTTGTATTAAGTCAAAGACCTTATCTTCAAGCTCTGAATGTCTTTCTTTTACTTGTTCAATTCTATTGCTGAGATGACTTTCCAGAGCATTTTGCATTTCTATTAAGTGTGTCCACTGTTTCCTGAAGTTTTTAATGTTTTTATTTATGCTATCCATGTCATTGACTATTTCTCCCTTCGCTTGTATCATTTTTTGGATTTCCTTACATTGGGCTTCACCTTCTCTGAAGCCCAGGATTCAGGTGCCTCCCTGAATTCTTTTTAATAATTCTGAACTTTAATTCTTTTTAAGGTAAATCAGGGATTTATTCTTGGTTTGGGTCCATTGCTGGTAAGATAGTGTGATTGTTGGGGAGGTGTTAAAGAATCTTGTTTTGTCATATTACCAGAGTTGGTTTTCAGGTTCCTTCTCATTTGGGTAGGTTCTGAGGGAGGGTCTACAGCTGAAAGCTATTGTGCAGGTTGTTTTGTCCCATGGGGTGTTTCTGGATGTAGTACTCTCCCCCTTTTCACCATGGATGTGGCTTCCTAAGAACCAAGCTGTAGTGATTGGTGTCTCTCTTCTGGATCTAGCCACCCAGAAAGTCTACCAGGCTCCAGGCTGGTACTGAGGGTTGTCTGCAGAGTCTTGTGATGTGAACCATCTTTGGGTCTCTTAACCATAGGTACCAGCATCTGTTCCAGTGGAGGTGGCAGGGGGTGAAAGGGACTCTGTGAGAGCTCTTAGCTTTGGAGGTTTAATGCACTATTTTTGTGCTGGTTGGTCTCCTGCCAGGAGCTGACATTTTCCAGAGAACATCAGCTGTGGTAGTATGGGGAGGAACAGCGAGTGGGCGAGGCCCTAGAACTCCCAAAAGTATATGCCTTTTGTCTTTAGTTACCAGGGTGGGTAGAGAAGGACCACTGGGAGGGGGCAGGGCTAGGCATGTCTGATCTCAGACTCTCCTTGGATAAGTCTTGCTGTAGCTGCTGTGGGGGATGGGGGTGAGGTTCCCAGGTCAATGGAGTTATGTTCCTTTGGATTATGACTGTCTCTATTGTGTCATGCAGGTTGTCATGGAAGTGGGGGAAAGCTGGCAGTCACAGGCCTCATCCAGTTCCCATGCAATCTGAAGGGCCAATCTCACTCCCTTCAGGGTGTGCACCCCTCAACAGCACCAAGTCTGTTTCCGGGGAGTGGGCAAGCAGGGCTGAGAACTTGCCCCAGGCTACCTGCCTCCCAGCTGCAAAAGCAAATATGGCTTTCCTTCTGCCTATGAAGTCTGCACACCAGATGCACACCCTCCCCCAAGTTCTGGGCAGGAGGCTTCTCAATCAGGTCAAATTGTTACAGAGTTCAGCTGGAGATTTCCCTCTCCCCACGGCCTTTTCCTAGCACCTCTGGCCACCCTCCGGAAGGACTCCTGTGAGGCCAGGCAAAACTGTCTTACTAGGAGACTCAGCAAGCTCCCAGGACTTTTCTCGCTGCTTCCTCTACCCCTGTATTTTTCTTGGCTCTCTAAAGTAACTCAGCTTCAGGTAAGTCAAAATATTCTCCTGTAACCTAGGCCTTCAGTTTCCTCAGTGGGAGTGTGTGTTCAAGGGCAGATGATCTCCCTTTTCCACTTCCACTGTTTGGGCACTCACAGTATTTGGAGTGTCTCCCGGGTCCTGCAGGAAAAATCCACTTCCTTCAGGGGGTCTGTGGTTTCCTCCCAGGTTTCCTGATTTATTCCTGCAGTCGTATTGGAGCAAAAATTCACACTGCTCTGTCTGTACAAGTCAGAACTGCAGTCTATCCCTAAATACACTAGATGAAAAAAAATAAAAATTAAATTAAAAAAAGAACTGCAATCTAATTTTGCCTCCCATCCACCATGATCTGACCATAATTATCTTTTATTGTTGTATTTTTTTGCATATTTTTTATCTACAATTAGTTAAATCCACAAATGCAGAATCCTCAGATACAAAGCGCTCAGCATTTGTTTATTGATTTCTTTGTTAATCATTTCTTCTTGCATCTTAATTCTTCCTTTTCAATTTTATTCTTCCTGAAGCATATCCTCTTTCAGTGAATGTGTTAGTGTCTCTCAGTCTTTGTTCTGAAAATGTTTTTTATTTTGCACTCACTCTTTTTTTTTTTTTCAGATGGCATTTCACTCTGTCACCCAGGCGGGAGTGCAGTGGCACGATCTTACCTCATTGCAACCTCCGCCTCCCAGGTTCAAGCAATTCTCCAGCCTCAGCCTCCCAAGTAGCTGGGATTACAGGTGCACAGAACCATGCCCAGCTAATTTTTGTATTTTTAGTAGATATGGGGCATGACCATGTTGGCCAGGCTGGTCTCAAACTCCTGGCCTCAAGTGATCCGCCTGCCTCAGCCTCCCAAAGTGCTGCTATTACAAGCATGAGCCAACATGCCTGGCCTGCACTCATTCTTAAATGATAGTTTAGCCAGGTATAAAAAGTTTTTTACCAGGATTCTGAACATTTGCTACGTGATTTTCAAGCTTCCATTATGACTTTGGGAAGTCTGATGATAGTCTAACTGTTCTCCCCTTATAGAGTGCTCTGGTTGCTTTTAAAACTTCCTTTTGGTCTCTGAGGTTCTGCATTTTGACTATAATGTATCTAGTTGTTATTTCATTTAACTTATTCTGCCTGAGACCCCTGTGATTTCTGAATCTATGACTAATGTCTCTCATCAACTCTGGAAAATTATCAGCAACTACCTCTTTAAATATTGACTTTGCCCCCACTGTTTTTATTTTTCTTTCTGGAAATTCCATTAGATACATAGCAAACATTTTTAGTCCATCCCTCATGTCTCCTAACATCTTTTTTACATTTATATATTTTTCGAACCTTTGTGATGAATTCTGGACAATTTCTTTAGCTCTAGATTTCAATTTATTTATTTTCTATTTTGTGTAAACATACTGTTTCATGCAATATTATACTTTAATTTTGGTACTTATATTTTTTATTTTATATGCCTGTCATTTTTTCACCATATTTTTCTTGAATTTTTTATTATTTCATTTATGTCTTCAATCTTTTTGAGCATATACTTTTATGAATTCCTATCTAGTAGTTCCATTCTCAGAAGTTATTAGTCATGGCCACTGACACACACTCATGATAGATTGTTTCCCAGTTAGTTTTAAATTTTGAGCCACATCCAGCAGAATCTCATCTGTGGAAATCCTTTAAAGCCAGGGATCAGGGTGTGTCCTTCCAGTGGGATTTTGTGTTTGCTGCTGCTCATCTCTCCAGGGCTGTCAGGAGTGTCAGCCTCAGGACACTTGAACATTAAAGTCTCAGCTGAAGGATTCCTGGACCACCCAGATAGTATAAATTAGAACCAAACTCAGCCAAGGTACAGGCTGTGACTACAAATTCTCAGGGGCTCCTTCTTCCCATCCAGACCCAAGTCATAGCAGATAGGCCTCTTTGCTATCACCTTCTGCTGGTGAATGGATGTACATTATTCCATTACTTTACTGTGCATGAGGCCTGCAAATGATTCTAACTTTAAGCAAGAGCCTTAGTTTCAACCCCTCTGCCTGAAGCAGGCCCAAGGCTGTGTCCCCTAGATGGTTCAGACCTAACCCCTGGCCATCACCAGGTCTGATAACAGGCCATGCTCCTACCAGGGCTGCCACAGTCTCTGACCACATTTTACAGTTTACTCTTTAATTTCGAACCTGGGAATTTGTTTTACTTTCTAACAAGTTCAGTTATATGTTTAAAGGTCTATTTGTTATATCATATTTAGGATTTCCGGTTGTTTTGTAGCAGAATTCCCAAATTATATTAGTTCACCATATTGACAAATTAATGTCTGATCCTCCACCAAATTAAAGGCCGAGGCAGGAGGATTGCCTGAAGCCAGGAGTTTGAGACCAACTTGGGCAACATAAGGAGTCCCTGTATTTACAAAAAAAATATATTAGCTGGGCATGATGGTGCATGCCTGTAGTCCTACCTGCTCAGGAGGCTGAGGAGAAAAGATCTCTTGAGCCCAGGAGGTCGAGGCTGCAGTGAGCTCTGATCATGCCACTGCACTCCAGCCTGGGAGAAAGAGTGAAACTGTGTCTAGAATGATTGAATAAATAAATGAATAAGCTTCCTCATTGTTCATTCAGACACTTCATGACCTCATATTAATAAGTTTATTGCCTCTCTGGGCAACGCGTCAGCCTCAGTTTCTTTCTGTTAAAACACTCCATTTTTAAAATTCAAATCTCTTGGAATAGGTACTTGATTGGACCAGCTCACCACATCTAGGCAGAGCTTCTCACCCCAAGACTCCCACAGGCCATAGGCAGCCCATGAGTTGGCTGCTTTTGAGTCAGGTCCAATCAAGTCCAGCTGAAGGAAGAATAAGTCCCATAGTGCAAAACACCGTGGCTAATGGTGCCTCCACCAGGACCATTTCCTTAGAAAGGTCTGTGGACACAGAAGGCACTGCCAGAGACAGTCCTCCTCCCAAGCACCACTGGGGAAAGATACCACCATCTCCTGAACAGCATAGATTTTATCCATGAACAAATGAATAAATGAACAAACAGCAAGTTGAACAGCCCATAGCCAATTGTGATGGTTTGTATAGGTTTCCGTTTGAAAAGCAGTCACTAATGAGCTGCTTGGTCAACATTTTTGTCAATTATTTAGACATAGAGATCAAAATCAGATTATAGGTTGGACACGGTGGCTCACAGCTATAATCCCAACACTTTGGGAGGCTGAGGTAGAAGAATTGCTTGAGCCCTAGAGTTCAAGACTGGCTTGAGCAACATAGGGAGACCCCATCTCTACAAAAAATAAATTAGTGAAGTGTGGTGGCCTGTGCCTGTAGGCCCAGCTACTTGGGAGGCTAAGGCAGGAGGATCGCTTGAGCCTGGGAGTTCAAGGCTGCAGTGAGCTATGATTGCATCACTGTGCTCCAGCCTGAGTAACAGAGTAAGACTCTGTCTCTAAAAAAAAATGTTTAAGAAAAAGAAAAAAAAAGTCAGTTTATACATTTGATGCATGACACAAAGTTGAAAGGGATAGATAATGCTTTCCAAAAATGAGGTTCAAATGGTTTTGGCTAATTACAATAAACAAGATTTAATTTAGTAAGAATTAGGGAAACTCCTAAAGTTATGTCCAAAATTCCAATGGTGAAGCACAGGATTGTTGTGTCCTGACTTGGCAGCAACTGATAGATCAAGAATCTGGGAGTTTTAGCGACTGTCATTTCAACCCAGTCCTGACTAGTCCTGCTCAACTCCTACCCAAATCCTCTGGGCCCTGGTGAGACACATGGGGCCCACAGAAAAAGAGCTCTCCATGGTGGCCCTGCCTCTGTGGGCTTCAATCCTAACTTACCTGTCTCATCAGCCTCACACTTAGCTCTGCCACTGCCCATTCTCTTCTGTACCCCAACATAGCCTCCTTAATTTTATGCACAATTTAGTTTTCTGGGCCCGTTTCTTATCTATCTGCTTGTTAGTCATTTTACTTACAGTCTTCTGGGTCTGCAATTCATACTAGGAACTTCAGAAGAAATGAAGGATACATTTCTCCTAGAGAAGAGACTATGGGAAGCATAATGAGGACCTTCAAATGAAAGAGAAGGTGGACAGGTCCTGCTTTGCTGCAACCAGCACTGTCAGAACTAGAAGGCAGAGAGTTGAAAGAATCAGATGTCTGTTCAATACAAGCTACTTGGCTGGGCACAGTGGCTCACATCTGTAAGTCCAGCACTTTGGGAGCCTGGGGTGGGAGGATCACCTGAGATCAGGAGCTCGAGACCAGCCTGACCAACATGGAGAAAGCCCAGTCTCTACTAAAAATACAAAATTAGCTGAGCGTGGTGGTGCATGCCTGTAATCCCAGCTACTCAGGAGAATGATGAAGGAGAATTGCTTGAACCCAGAAGGCAGAGGTTGCGGTGAGCTCGGATCATGCCACTGCACTCCAGCCTGGGTAACAGAGTAAAACTCTGTCTCCCAAAAAAAAACAAAAAAAATACAAGTCACTTATTGTTTCAGTCAACATGTGTGAGCACTTACTATCTGCATGGTGATAGATGGTTGGGGCCATCCAAAGGAAGGACTTGCCAACAGATGGAATGCATTCTGTTGCACCCTAGTGTGGAAGGGGGACCCCTGACCTACTATTGAGATGCTGCAGAGTTGATTTCTACATTGGTAAGGAGACTAGACTCACCCAGTGGCAAAATTCTGGATCTAAAATGCCATCTCCAAGCCAGGCCTTTCTCCCAGAAAGGCACTGACAAAAATGAATCCTTTTGAATGCAGAGGAAGTAACAGAGCACAGACTGTAATTTCAAAGGGGTCAGAATGACCTGCAGAAAAACCTGCAAATATTTCCCTACCTGTCTGTGTGCTTCTGACCCTTTAACTTGGCCAAACCCACTCCCAGGGTGTACCTGCAGAAGATGAAGGGTAGCTGAAAACAGCCACGGGTGTGCAGAGCAATTTCCCAGAACCTCCATTCTCTGATTTGGCTCAGATTTCATCTTAGCTTCCTCCAATCTCTGGGCTCTGACTTCGCCTTGGTTATTTGAAACTTGGCTTGACTTATCCTATAGACCAGAGAAGTTTTCAGACTTAAGCTAGCATCAGAATCACCTGTAGGACTTATTGAAGCCCAAGCTGCTCATCCCCAGAGGTTTTTTTTAATTTTTAATTTTTTTGAAGCAGGGTCTCATTCTTTTGCCCAGGTCACAGCACCCTGGACCTCCCAGGCTCAGGTAATCTTTCCACCTCAGCTTCCCAAGAAGCTGGGACTACAGGCACGCGCCACCATGCCTGGCTAATTTTTTTAAATTTGTTGTAGAGATGTTGTCTCACTATGTTGCCCAGGCTGGTCTCAAATTCCTGGGCTCAAGTGATCCTCCTGCCTCAACCTCTCAAAGTGCTGGGATTATAGGCGTGAGCCACCTTGCACAGCCCAGAGTTTCTAATTAGGTCAGTCTGGGATGAGCCCAAGAATTTGCAGCTCTAAGAAGTTCTCAGGTGAGATTGATGCTGCTGGCCTGGGACCAGACTTTGGAAACCACTCTAGACCCAGGTGCAGCTCTCTCCTCTGTGAGAACCTCTAGTCTAACCCAGCCCCGCAGAATACTAAGGAGACCTCTGTCTCCTAAGCTATCACAGCCCCAGCCATTGCTCCGGTGCCCAAGGGGGGACTTCGGATGCTAGCAATGAAACGATGCCTAAAGTTTCTCAGCATTTGATTCCTGAAATCCAGGGTTTCTTGATCTATTAATATGCAAGTGCCCCAGAAGGTACTTTGCCATGGTTTTATAGAGATAATAATTTAAAATCTTCTGGGAATGGTGTTCCCTCACTGAAAGTCAGCATGTAAAAAAAAAAAAACAACTCTCCCAAATCTTCCTAAATCACAGGGGACCCAGCTGGTGGCCTTAGAGTTGCAGACTGAAGTACTGAAGCATACAGCTGCAGGGAAACAGTCAGGGTCAAATATTAACAGCTAGCACTAACATAACTCATATTCTGTGCCAGGCTGTGTCATAAACACTTTATACATTAAATACATTTATTTATGTATTATTTAGTTCCTCATAACTTATAAAGAAGATTTTCTTATTATCCTCATTTCACAGATAAGAAAACTGGGGCACAGAGAGGTCAGCTAACTAGACTAAAGTCACACAGCTGGAATATGAGAGAGCCAGGACCAAGCCCGCAAGTGGAGCCTTCAGGTCTATGCCTTCCCCACTGCACCGCACAGCCTGGGGTAACTTACACAGACTCTGAAATCTGTGTTCTGGATCCAGCCCCCTTTTTCTGCTGAAGTATTTACCCCCTAGTTGGGATCCAATGTTCAGGTGCCTGAAGTCCCCCACCCTTTCCTTACCACCCCATTCAGCTTGAAAGAGAAGTGTTCCCTTGTCTAAGAATTTCATTTCAGGCATTGGCGATCAGAGAAATTTGCGAGAGTCACTGGGGAGGGCCCAGACCATACCAAATCTTAGCTGGCCGCAAACATACATCTGACTTTCATTAGGTTCTTGACTATTTTTCAGCAACTTAGTGGAGGTGGGATTGATGGGAGCAGTCCCCAGGGGCTGTCCCTTAAATGTGAGGCCCTTCTGGAAGTCATGGTAGGTCCAGGCCACTTCCAGGTTTTGAGAATATCTCCAAAAGAAGGGTTTATAATAAATGTGTATATTAAGCAAATAGACACATTTAACCCCCCCAAATAAATATAGTGAGAATATACAGTCGATCTTTAAACAACAAACGGGGTTGGGGCACTGACCCCTTCAGATTGAAACTCCTGATCAGGCAAAGTGGCTCACACCTGTATTCCCAATACTTCAAGAGGCCAAAGCAGGAGGGTTGCTTGGGCCAGGAGTTCAAGACCAGTCTGGGCAACATAGTGAGACCTCGTCTCTACTTTTTTAAATTATAAATTTAAAAATAAAAAATGAAAAGAGTCCTGTGAATTCAGTGCATCCCGCCGTGTGATGGCATGGCAGTCTGTCTTCTGAGGGCTGTGGAAGGAAAGTTTTCCCTGCCTTTTGGGAAGCTGGTGGCCCATCTGCAGAGAACACCCACGATCCAAAGCTGAGCATCCCCTATCTGGCCCAGGGGTCACCCCTTCCATCTGTGACAGGCCTTGCTGGAGGGGCCTAGCACTGGGGACCCTGGCTTCATCTCTGGTTTCTCCCAGAGCCCAGACTGGCCTGTCCAGCACTGTCTACCAACTGGAGGTCTCTCTCTGCCTTCTTGCTTCCTAAGCTCCAGCTGCATTCTCCCAGCCTCACTCACCGCTGCCCTAAAACTGAAAATTCGTAATATTCTGGCTCATTGACCAATATTTTAATAGGCATCTAATGGGTCTTTTGCTTCTAAAAATCCCTTACCTCATATCCTGGAGCACAGCTCTAAACCTCTATATCATTTCCACCTCTGGCTGTGGAACTTGACCAAATGCACAGAGTCCTTGGCCTGGTTCTGCTTTATTAAAAGAAGGGACATAGTTTTGTTTTAAGTTTGCCCCTTTAGCCTTTCAGAAGGGCTGTAGGTCCATGTAGACACCGTTCCCACCCTGTGTCCCTATGCAAGACAACTGTGGTACCAATACTGGGTTGCCTGGGCTCCATTTCGCTGCTGTAGCAACAGCCAAACATTCCCAAGAGTGGGTGCATCTCAGCGTAAAGATAGGGTAGGCAGATAAGATGCATGATGCCCAGTTAAATTTGAATTTCAGATAAACAACAAATACTTTTGTAGCATAAGTATAGCCCACTCAATTTGAGGGATATACTTACACTTAAAAAGTATTAGTTGGGCCAGGCACAGTGGTTTGCAATGTAATCCCAGCAATTTTGGAGCCCAAGGCAGGAGGATTGCTTGAGCCCAGGAGTTTGAGACCAGCCTGGGCAACATAGTAAGACCCCATCTCTCCAAAAAATGAAAAAATTAGCTGGGTGTGGTGTCTTGCACTTGTAGTTCTAGCTACTCAGGAGGCTGAGGCAGGAGGATGGCTTGAGCCCAGGAGGTCAAGGCTGCAGTGAGCTATGATCATGCCACTGCACTCCAGCCTGGGCAACAGAGCAAGACCTTATCTCTAAAAATTAAAAATTCAAATTATCAGTTCATTTGAAATTCAAATTTAACTGGGGTGCTGCATTTTTGTTCACTAAATTTGGTAATGCTAAGCTGGCATCAAATAATCCAGTTTAATAAGAGTTCTGTGAAAATGTTACCAGTAAGTACAGGCAGCCCAATGGCCTCACTAAACTCAAGGGCCCACTTTTTGCCTATGGACCAGCAGGCATCTGATTATTGATCAAAACTGACCCAGCGTCCAGTAGAAAATAGGTAATACCCCAAAAGATCATTGCAATGCTACTTGAAAAGAAAATGAATTGAAAATACTCCACAGTCAAAAGTTAACAAGGTCTACCATAATTAGCCTTTCTTTTTTTGATGGTGGGGGACAGAGTTTCACTCTTGTTGCCCAGGCTGGAGTGCAATGGTGCAATCTCAGCTCACCACAACCTCTGCCTCCTGGGTTCAAGCAATTCTCCTGCCTCAGTCTCCCGAGGAGCTGGGGTTACAGGCATGTACCACTGTGCCTGGCTAATTTTTTGTATTTTTAGTAGAGACAGGGTTTCTCCATGTTGATCAGGCTGGTCTCAAACTCCCGACCTCAGGTGATCTGCCCACCTTGGCCTCCCAAAGTGCTGGGATTACAGGCGTGAGCCACCACCCCCGGCCCATAGTTAGCCTTTCTAAGGATGATGCAGGGTGAGGTTGATAAAGATAGATCTCTCTTCAATCATAATTTTTCCAAAGGTACTAACCTAAAAAGCAAAAGGTCCTTGCCTTATTCCAGGACTGGTCGTTGTAAGACTGGGGATAAAGACCATGATAGCAACTTCCACCCCATCCTCAGTGCCTCAATTTCACCCTAGACACAAGCAGAGATCATCTGAAGGCACTCAGAAGAAAAGTATGGGATGGAGTCAAGGAAGTCTTCCGGCATTTGAATAAACAGCCACAGTGAGGTAGCTCTGCCCCTCCGATGAAAAGGGAGGAAAATTGCCTCATTAAAAAACATTTTCAATAAAAAATTTTCATCAGAAACATTCGCAAGAGGGTTTTGGTCAAATGACGCAATAATTTTCAGGCAATAATAACCATGCTTTTGAAAGTCAGTGCTGATTACCAGGTGTATTGAAAATGGCCTTGGGGAAATCTCTGTGCAAATATTTCCTTTCTAGTTTAATTTCAAAGACTACTTAAAAGAAGAAAGGGAGGATGTCTGCAGTAATAAAGGAGCAATCATTTGCACCTGGACAGGACTATGCTTCATCCCAGAATCTGGAGCGTTTTGTGTACAGACGGGAGAGCCCGGGTGTGCAGTGGAGGCTGCGGGGCTGGGAAGGGATATGGCAGAAAAACAAGGTACCTCTACCAAGGTCACACGGAAACACAGGTGGACTCGATAGCACGGCTCCCACCTGATTACAATCACACAGCTTCCCTGCTCTAAAGAGAACACCGATCACGTGATGGGAGGTCCCTCCTCGCTTCAAGATCAAAGCCTCTGCAGCTGCCATGAAGCTAATAAGGCCATGGCCAAGTTTACTGAGCATCTGTTACATACACAGCCCGTTAGGCACCACGGGAGAGAACGAAGAGGGATAGACCCTGATCCTGCCAGCAAGTGCCAGACGAGCTAAGGAGGCAAGACTGGCCTGCGCTGTGTGCAGAGTGGCATAGTACTCTCTTTACGGAGAGATGGTCTGTCTGTCAACGAGAGTGTAAGGGGGTTTATAGACCTTCCTCAAGCCTCCAAGCATAGGAGAGACTTCGAAATGTGGGACATTGCAAAATGTTTCCTAATGTCTTATAGTCTACCCCTCTCTACTAGAAAACTGGAGAGTGCCTGCCTTTTCCCAAAGAAATGCAAAATAGACTTCAGGCTGGTCCCAGGCTGTTTGCAGAAAACCAGACATTGAAGGTCTCTTCCAAGAAGTTCAAAAGGGGTTCTGGTTAGTGTGTCCCTTCTCTATTTGCGTTTTGCTGGTTTCCTGCCCCACCCAGTCCTTTATTTGCTCCTCTTTTCTTCTTTTCCTTCCCACAAAAGAAAAACTCGTAATGAGACCACAAGACAAGGACAACAGAGACACTCCTGGATTCTCACCCATTTTGCTGAACTCTTAGGGGAGCAATCGTTTCTTTTAGGGCTGAGCCATGGTCCAAGCTGGGAGGAGGGTCACACTGACTAGGACAGGACCACTGGTGGCCACACTCCCCCTATCCACTACATGCTTGCAGAATAAAGGATTAGACAGGTCAGCAGAGAGCCTCTTCCAGAGGGAGCCGCCGTCATTCACTACAAGACTGGCCACCAAGCAGCCTGGATGTTCTAGAATAGTTTCCATTTCAAATGATATATTGACCCTATAAATCATCCAAATGGCCTGGAAATTATAAGATTTCAGCATCTAAGCTACAATTTCAACAGTGCCCCCCCCCCCCCCGCCCCCCGCCCCATTTGGAATCACTACAAAAATCTTCCATCAGCCCAGATTTCCTGGCTGGGTTTCAGAAACTAGGATCGCTGCTTCAGGCTGGTGGGAAAGTACGTGTATTCGGCCTTCATGATCCCCACACACCCTTTTAGCCACCTGTTCCCACGTGCTGTCCACCCAACTCCACCCTCCCTCTACCCCTTTTTGGTGAAAACCTGCCCCAATTAGCATCTGGCAAGCACACACCAGTGAAAAGACTGAGGAAGATGTTTGGATATTTGCATCCTCACAAGAGACAGTGTCTTGAGACAAAGGGATAAAATCCTAATAAGGAATTAGGGGGTATAAGCAAACTGTAAGAGAATACAAGAAAGGCTGGGCTTGGTGGCTCATGTAATCCCAGCACTTTGGGAGGCCAAGTTGGAAGGATCGCTTAAGCCCAGGAGTTCAAGAGTAGCCTGGGCAACATAGCAAGACCCTGTCTCTACAAAAAAAAATAGATTAAAAAATTTAGTCCAGGATGGTGCCACACTCCGGTAATCCCAGCTACTTGGGAGGCTGAGGTGGGAGGATCACACGAGCCCAGGAGTTGGAGATTGCAGTGAGCCATGATCGTGCCACTGCACTCCAGCTTGGGAGGCAGAGTGAGGCTCTCTCTCTCAAAAAAAAAAAAAAAAAAAGAGAGAGAGACAGATGAAGAAAGAGACTATAGGGGGAAGGAAAGTAAGGGATCTCTGTGGAACCCCTTAAAGCTGCCCTGCCTATTTGCCATGTTAAGTCTCCTGTGTCTGAATGGGGTGGGGAAAACAGCAACTGCTGTGATTGATGGGAATGGTAGGCACCAAGCAGGACTGAGAGCCCCTTCATGAGTGGCCAAAACTGGACACAGCCCAGTGGCTGCACACACTTCTGAAGAAGGGGCCACATGGCAGGAATAAGCTCCTTGATGACCTGACTACGAAGCCACTGGGCACTGGTTGGAAGTCTGGAGGTAAATCCTGTCTACTTTTTGCACTTCTGCATCCAGGATAACATGGACCCTGCTCAGTGCCATACGGTGGCTAATACCACATGAAGCACTTCGCTCACTGCTGTGGGAGGTGCTAGACTAGCCACTGTTGGTGGTCGCTATGTCCCAAGAGTCACAGCCCCTGGGGAGCCTGGGTCACATCTCAGCCAGAAATAGTGTGAAACAGAGGCTATTCTGGTCATCTGCAGAATGGGAGCCTGAATTCTGCCCCAAACATGGTCTCATCCAGCAGGGTGCATCTTGTCACAGCCCACCTAAAAGGCATACCCTAGGCTGCCCGGGTTGGTGGTCTATGTCCCCTGGGCTCACCTGTCTTCTCTCTGTTCCCTGGTGACCACTGTCTCCCTTCTTTTCCCTCCCACACCTACAGCGGGGACCTGACTGCTGCCTCCCCTGACTGAGGCCTGACTCTCAGCCTTCTTATATCTGATTCCTTGCCTTTTGCTGTGATACTTCCGTGGGCAGATCTCATTGTCATGACCATCTTTGGCAAGCCCTGGGACATACCTTCCCTATGTAGAATCCCCACAGGGAGGTGTGTGGGATGAGCCAAGAGACAATCCATGCTTGAAAAATCTCTCCTCTTTGTTCTTCCGGCCGCCTGCAGAAGATGGGTAAGCTTCGCCCTTTTCCAATCCTCTAATCAAAGAAGATGCGTGAAAGTCTTTAAAGAAAATCTCTGCAGAAGGCTGATTCACCCGCAATTTTTTTCTCCGCCTTCTCCTCCTATGGCCTGCAATTTCCACAATTAGAAATTAATTCCTTTGAAATTTTTTCTGCTAAAATACATATAAGCATGGGAAAGAAAACAGCAGTTGTATTCCAGAGCAAATGTACTTATTCTGAAAGAGTATTTTGATAAGAAGAGAAAGAATTTAAGAGTTCCTGGGAATGAAGGAGTTGGGAACACTTAAAAGGAGCCTCAAAGAAAGGAGCAACAACTTTGGAATGGAAAGATTCCGTCGGGAGGGGCCCAAGCCAAACTGTTCCTCTCTCAGAGCTTTGCACAAGCCAAGCAGGTCAGAACCAGGTCTCCAATCAGCAAAAAGGGGTAAAAGGTTGGGGAATATGGGAGCAAGTTCAGGTATTGGCTACAAAGGCTTCCTTGAGTCTAGGAATTGTGCAGGCACCAAGGGTGCAGTGAAAGGTAAGACCCAGCTCCTGCCCTCGGTGTAGAGTTCACAACGTAGTTGGGAGAAACACAAGGAAATCAGTACTCTTCAGTCGGGCTGAGGACCTTGGATGTTCTGGCCACACAGAGAGGAGGGCCACAGTTGACAGGCACCTGATGTAACCTGGGGAAAGGGGAGGATGGGACACATAGACTGGCTATAAAAAAAAAAAAAAGACAAGTTAGAAGTAGCCTAACCAGGTGGCTTACACCTGCAATTCCAGCATTTTGGGAGGCCAAGGCAGGAGGATCACTTGAGGCCAGAAGTTTGAGACCAGAATAGGCAACAAGACTCGACGAAAAACACCCAAAATTAGCCTGGTATGGACCTGTGGTCCCAGCTACTTGGGAGGCTGAGGTGGGAGGATCACCTGAACCAGGAGGTCAAGCCTGCAGTGAGCCATGATCACGCCACTGCACTTCAGCCTAGGTGACAGAGAGAGACCCCTGTCTTAAAAATTAAAAAAAAAAATTAGCTGAGCATAGTAGTATGCACTTTGAGTCCCAGATACTCAGGGGCTAAAGCAGGAGGATCACTTGAGCCCAGGAGTTTGAAGCTGCAGTGAGCCATGGTCACACCACTGCACTCCAGCCTGAGTGACAGAGCAATACACTGGCTCTAAAAATTAATAAAAATTTTTTAAAAAAGAAGTAGCCCACCAGGAGAAGGAAAGGCACACCCAGCAGAGGAAAGCACATAAGCAAAGGCTTGGGGGAAAGCACATTTTATGTGGTTGGAAATCTAAGTCCTTAAGGGGATGTGAGGGGATATGAGGCTGCAAAGGTGTTTGGCCATTAGAGCACTGGAGGTCATGTCGAGAAGTTTCAACTTCCTTAGGAAAGCAATCAAGAACTTCTGACTTGTAAGCAGAGGAACACATGGCAATTTGTATTTGCCTTGTTCACCCAGAAGGCAGGCAGATGATGGAACTGAGAGGAATGAGACTGGGGACAGGGGCGCCAGTTAGGAGCTGATGGTAATAGATTCAAGATGAAGGTCTCACCTGAAGCAGGTGCAGAGAGCATAGAGGAAGACCAGGAAGATCCGAGGACAAACATAGGGGCTGAGGGAATGTAAGAGGGTGATGACCAATCCTGGGACTGCCAGCAGGGCCACTGGGGAATGGCTAACTGCCCACTGAGAAAAGGAAGGCAGGGTTGTCACGCAGGGCTTAGGTTTGAAAGTTTGGATGAAAGTAAAATTTCATATGGCCAACATACACTTGAAAATCCCTTAAACTGGCCGAGCACAGTGGCTCATGCCTGTAATCCTAGCACTTTGGGAGGCTGAGGCGGGCAGATCACGAGGTCAGGAGTTTGAGACTAGCCTGGCCAACATGGTGCAACCCGTCTCTACTAAAGATACAAAAAAAAAAATTGCTGGGCATGGTGGCACACGCCTGTAATCCCAGCTGCTCAGGAGGTTGAGGGAGGAGAATCACTTGAACCCAGGAGGCAAAGGTTGCAGTGAGCTGAGATTGTACCATTGCACTCCAGCTGCCCAGGTGACAGGGTGAGACTCTATCTCAAAAAGAGAGAGAGAGAGAGAAAGAGGAAGGAAGGAAGGAAGGAAGGAAGGAAGGAAGGAAGGAAGGAAGGAAGGAAGGAAGGAAGGAAGGAAGGAAGGGGAAAGAAAGAAAGAAAAGAAAATCCCTTAAATTACCCATAATGTACATTAGAGATTATTATGGCTTTGGTTGAGTCAGATGAAGTTCCAAGGCCTTGTTAAATGTGAAATGCAGATTTTTTTCTAAGTCAGGGTCTTGCTCTGTCGCCCGGGATGGAATACAGTGGCATAATCATAGTTCACTGCAGCCTTGGATTCCTGGGCTCAAGTGATCCTCCTGCCTCAGCCTCCTAAATAGTTGGAGTTATAGGTGCGTGGCACTGCTCTCAGCTGAAATACAGATCGTAAACCCCAAAACTCATACTCAGCATGCAGAGACACTCATTGTGGGAAAAGCACAAGGAACTCCACAGAAGTAGAAGAGTCAGGTCTTCC